ATAGATAGATAGATAGATAGATAGATAGATAGATAGATAGATAGATATCTCTGTATGTGTATCTCTATGTAATCTATCTATCTATCTATCTATCTATCTATCTATCTATCTATCTAATCTATATTAGAGCCTCTCATTTCCATCCCTGCAACAGCCTTCAAAAGGAGATTACCATGTAAAGTGATATACCGATACAGACACGCTCTACTGTGCTAGTGAAGCCACACACCTGAATCCTGCGTCCGGTTCTGGTCACCACAATAGGAAAAAAAGAAGAAGAAGATGTTGAGACCTTAGAAGGAATGCAGAGAAGAGAAGGGACCTTCAGGATAAATCGTGCAAGGAAAGGTTAATGGAACTGGCTGCGTTCAGGCCCAGGAAGAGAAAGACAGCGGGGGCATAATAGCAGGCTTCCAATACTCGAGGAGCTGTCGTAGAGAAGAGGAGGAGGGTGGGGTCAAGCTATTGTCCAAAGCCCCTGAAGGCAGGACAAGAAGCGACGGATGGAAACTCATCAAGGAGAGAAGCAACCTAAAACGGTTGGTGGAATTGGGTGTGTTTAGTTTAATGAAAAGAAGGACTTGGAGCAGAGGTGGTCTTCTACAAGTTCTGACCAATTCTGGAGAACCAGTAGCGGAAATTTGGAGTACTTCGGAACACCACCTCTGACTGGCCCCTCCCCCATCTCTTCTCCACCTCCCATTGAGTCCTTGCTCATCGGCGGGGTCTCCTTTGGTTGCCCTGCATAGAAGAACAGGGCTGGAAAGCAGGTTAGTGGGGTGGGGAGAGAATAGGGATTTGACAGTCTCCTTCCCCTGCCCCGCCCACCAAGCCCCGCCCACAGAACCGGTAGTAAAAAAAAAATGAATCCCTCCCCTGACTTGGCGTGGTATGATAGCAGAATTCCAAGATTTGAAGGGATGCCCCAAAGAAGAGGGGAGTCAAATTATTCCCCAAAGCACCGGAAGGCAAGGCAAGAAGCAACAGATGGAAACTAACCAAGGAGAAATTCAGTTTAAGGAGGGATTTCGTTTCAGCTAGAACAATCAAGTTGAGGGTGTTCCATCCCTGGAGGCTGTCAAAGAAGAGACTGGACTGCCATTTGTCTGGAATGGTAGAGGGTCTTCTACCATTGAACAGAGGGTTGGACTAGAAGACCTCCAAAGGCCCCTTCCAACCCTATGATTTCTATGTTCTGCAAGGAGCATCCAAGAATCTTCTCTGAGCTGTGTGGTTTGAATAGAGACTCAAAGCTAGACCCAGCGTCCTGTCTCCTCGTTGGCTTTACATCATACCTGTGAAACGTACACCAAAGGTGGGCGCTCCATTCCAAAAACCAGCTGCCCCAATGCTCCCCCCAGCAACTCCATGCTTGGCTGCGCCTAGGCCATGATGCCACAATTGTGGTGACATCAGGCCTTGAGGTCACGGCTGGCCAGAATTCTCGGCCTAAGAAAGAATTGGCTGGAAGGCCTTAAAGGCAGAAACAGAATAGGGTCTGTGCAAGTATACCCGCTGGGGGCAGAGACGGTGTTCGGTTGGCTTTGCCAATGATGCAGGAGCTTTCCAGAGGGCACAGGGGGCAGCAGCATCCTCTGCCCACTCACCCTCTTCTTTTCTCTTTACCAGGTCACAGACCAACACGTAGCAACACAACTCAACCTTTCAGAGATTGGCCAAAGAGAAAACCATCAAGGTAATAGCCCAGGTTTGCGCATCATATTAATCGGCGTGGCTTTGGACACTTCGAGTAGGTTTGGATGAAGACAAAGGGCCGTGATCTTAGGCTAACCAGGGTTAAACCCAGTAGTGGGATCCCAATAATTTAACAACCGTTTCTCTGCCCTAATGATTTCTTCCAACCACCAGTTCACCAAATTGCTCAGAAACTTAACCACTGGTTCTCCCAAAGTGGTGCGGACTGGCTGAATCCCAGCCACTGGTTAAAAACCCTCACTGAACATAAAAACAAGAA